ACGTGATGGGGGTTGCTCACTTACCACTTTATAGATATAATTTAATTTAATTAATCGCGAAAAGTTCAAGGGACCTATCTGCTTTGATAATACACGAGTTTCGCGCCGAAAAGCTCATCAGGGACAGATGTTTGGTAAAATATATTGAAATTATTAAGATATATTTTTTAATACTTTATTCTTATTAGTATATCTTATATCTTAAATTCATATTCTTCCGTAAGGAGTGCACGAATACTAATACTCATTTTCAAATTCGAAATTCTCAATATGCTACAGTTTCGCTATAAACGTCACAAAATTTAAATTTAAAACCAGTTATTTACTTTTTAATGATATACTGTATAATTTACAATAATGACGTAATTATATATATATATATATATATATATATATATATATATATATATATGTGTGTGTGTGTGTGTGTGTGTTTAAATTTCTCAGAATAATTCTGAAGATAAGACAATTTGGATAAAAAGAAAACAATTGGAATATTAAAAAGGGAACGCTCTTGTGTAAGCCTCCTTCTGGATATTCGTAACTTTTTTTTATTTTTACTAAGAATTTGTTTTAGTAATCCATGTCGACATATTGCTAAATTTTTCAAAATAATTATGAATTATTATTAATTTGGATAAAAATTGGAACAACTGGAAAATATATTTCTTAGCCATTGCTGACGCCTTTCATCAATCTGACTTTATTTTTAATATCTTGAATTTAGTGTAACTAAAAAACATTTCTCTTTTAAACTTACCTTGATAAAGTCGGATTGACGAAACGTGTCGGCAATGGCTATGAAATATATTTTTTTCTTTTTATCAATATATATATATATATATATATATATATATATAGATATATAAACGATATCACGCCAAGCAAGCAAGGCAGTACAGCCAATAACAAGTAAGTGGTTACAGGGTTGTGAAAGAATTAGGAACAGAAACATTAGTAATGAGTAGAAAGAGAAGAGTAATCAGGAAGACAGTAGATACTGATTGACATTGTATTTAAACATTTGCAGATTAAAGTGAGCTGGAAAGCATGGAGCCGAGAGAGAGTTCCACAAGCGAGAGGTGCGAGAAAATAAACTGTTAGCATAGAAGTTACGGCTGCATCTAACCAGCTATATATATATATATATATATATATATATATATAAAAGGATTATTTAGGAATTTATTCCGTATACACCAATCCTATACTTGTATATATATATATATATATATATATATATATATATATATATATCCGAAATGTCATGAGAACGAAAATAATATATAAATTGTAATGTTCACAGAATTAATTCAAAAGAGTGCTCAATACCGAAAGTAGAGCAATAATTATTTATTATAATTTTTTCATATAGACAAAAGCAAAGCTCTAATGTCTATCACAAAAATATCTTTGCCTTTTTTTTTTCAAACAAATAGAAAAAAAAGGAAGTGACGGCATGCTTATAAGCAGAATTGTTCATAACCATTTTCGTTCTCACCAGTCGAGGTAAAACTAAATGTACCGAAAGAAGGTTGCATCTTTGTAGTGAGTAAATTGTTTTGTCTATATGAAAAATCTATAATAAGGACTTTAATCCAATGAGAACTCAATATAAGTTACAGAACAACATATAATGATAAATTAAGAAAACCTTAAAAATCCATATCGCTTATAATTTATTTCATGAATATTGTTATATTCATCTCTTCAGATCGAATATTTTTAAGAAATGGAATCGACCCCACCAAACACTCTTCTTCTCTTTTTCTCTCTCTCTCTCTTTTTCCTTTTCTCCTTTTTATCACCGTATATCTGTCTGTATGGATGGATTGTTTCCATTTCCTAAAATATTCGGTCTGAAAAGAAGAATATGACAATATTCATGAAATAAATTAGAACCTATATAGATTTTTAAGGTGTTTTCTTAATTTATCATTTTACTCACACATACACACACACACATATATATGATTACCTCATTATTGTAAATTTCTAAGTATTATATAATTAGTAATGTTCAAAACCTATCGATTATTTATTTCATTTTAAATTAATTATATATTCAGTTTATTTTATATTTAAAATTTTTGATTTTCGGAAAGAATATCAAACGTATTGTTTTGGGATTAAATTGTATTTATATTTATGGCAAATACACAGATATTTACATATATAATTACGTCACTATTGAAAACGTGTATATTATCTTATTGATTGATTGATTCATTTTTTAAGGCTTACCAACCCTTTACATGTTATTTAAAGTCAGAAAATATAGTATATCGAAAGAAGTTTTTGGTAGATAATAATGGTTTAGTGATGGAAGTATTATTAATTAATACATAGATGAGGAGTGGTCATTTTAAATATCAGACAAAATGAATATGAAAGCAAATTTATTCATTTCGTCCCTTATTAAGACGTGGGACAGCTACTGCTACCTAATAAATTTGAACAGCAATCTATCCATCTGTTACGTTATCCAGTTTCCCTTGTCTCATCGGGCATCCCCTGAAATCCCCCTAGCAGCTAATAAAGAACATTTTCTATCGTTTCCTTTTTTTGAGGAAGCCATTAAGCACAAGTCTTCACAATTTTAGGGAGCGCTTTGTATGTATTTTGGCTTCGTTATTATCAAGCTCCACATTAAGCTTCTTCCTCTTCTACTACTACTGCTACTACAACTACTAATATTACTACTACTACTACTACTACTATGTACACAATATTTGTCGAGGTGAATGAGATAGACTAATATATAGCTGTAGTGATAGTCATAATTTAAAGGCTGAGCATCTCTGTATTTTAACGTTTTGATGGCAAGAGTAACTAGCGTTTACCGTATTACTCCACTAAGTTTTCATTTTGTATATAAGTCTGATTGGAACAATATACTCGTTATTAGTCTAAATAAGTTCTTTTTTAAAACGAAAAGCGCCACTAAGTTTTTCAATATATATATATATATATATATATATATATATATATATATATATATATATATATATATATATGTATTAATAAATATATTTGTTGATTGATGTGAGTTTGTGACCTGGGTTTCACGCTTTTTGTCTGACGATCGCAAAAGCGTGAAACCCAGGGTCACAAACTCACATCTATCCAACCAAATATGTTAGCTCTATCTCTGATATTAAGCGCTTAATAAATACCGCATATATATATATATATATATATATATATATATATATATATATATATATACATTTCACATATATTAATAAATATATATTATCCCTCAACGATATCACGACTCGGATTTTCATGAAATTTTCAGGTGCTGAGTATCGACAATCTGTTACGTAATTTGCATTTTAAATTTTTAAAAAATATGTTTAGTTATCGCAATGTTGGTGCATTTATATATTATACTGGTACTACAGTTATTTTATTTTAAAAAAATATATTTGATATTTTAAATAAACGGATTTGTATGTATATGTGAGAAAAAAAAATTATTTTTTTCTATTTTAGCATTGTGGATATTAATTTTATATTTTAAATTAAAGGGAGATTACTTGTTCTTCTTTCTACAAAAAAAAAAGATAAATAAATCCGTAATTTATATTCAAAATAGACTGTAATTTATATTAAAAATTAACCAAAATTTATATTACAAACTAATTATTCATCTGGATCAACATATTTAAGTAGATATTTATTTTTAAGCTTACATGTATGCATCAATTCATTTCTCTTGCTGAATAGGCTAGAGCTATTTAATTGTTTCAAGATAGTCAGCTTTTCAACAACACATAAGTTACATTTATTACCTTCCCCGTCATAAGATTTAGCTCTAGCTATAATATTCCAGTTGATGAAGGATGAATTGCCATTATTCTTTAATTGCCAAAAACATTTGTAATTATATAAAACACAAAAACAGCATTGCTCTCTCCAAATATTTCTAGCGATTTGCCTTTCATCCAGATTAATTGCTTAGAAAGTAATATACGTATGTATGTGTGTGTGTGCACGTATATATGCGTAAAACTTCAGATATAAATGAAATATATCTGTAAAAAGCCAATATGAAGAAAGAGGAAAGGAAAACTTTTCTTTAGCAAAACGTTTCGTCGTCTGATAGACTTTATTGAAGGAAATGATAAAGTCCACCCGAGAACGAAACGCGTTGGTAAAGAAAACTTTTCCTTTCGTCTTTATTCATTTACACGCTTCCTGTACCTTTTCTATAAATACTTTCATAGTAATTGTTCGGATGAACTTATTCTATGATAACTAGGCTTTATAAATTTAAGCGCAGTGCTAGGTCTCATCCTTTTACAGCCGAAATGTATAGATGCAACCGTAAGTTCTATGCTAACAGTTTCTTCTTTCGCATTTCTCGCTTGTGTAACTCTCTTCTGGCTTCTTGCTTCCCAGTCAACTTTGATCTTACAAAATTTAAATGCAATAGTTATCTTCTGTCTTCTTAATTTCTGTTCTTTTATTGTTCTCTCTCCATAATAATATTTTCTTTTTCTTATATTCTTTAGCCCTCAGTACCCTCTTGCGTCTTAGTGGCTTCATTGCCATGCTTGGGGTGAAATGATGTCAGTGTATTAAGGGGCAAAGATTAGACACTAAAAAACTATTATTTTACTTGACTCAAGAATAATTTCAAAATCTGTAAACATCACAGTTTTATTAACATTAACATAGGTACCATGAAAGATAAGACTCCTAAAATAAATTATGACGTTACTTTAACAAACTTCCTTCTATTACGATTTTTTTGATAGGCAAAAATTATATTGTCGAAAGGTTATTAAATATAAAACTGCATCAATGTGTTGTACTTGATAAAACTAATGAGAAAGAAATAATCATAAAATTTAAGACTCTGAGCCAAGTTTAGGATAAATATGTCTGTAGTATGTATTTGTGAAACAGAGAATCATAAAGAAAAAAAAGAGAGAAGGACAGAGAGAGAAGAAAGAGAGAGCTTTGCAATAACTCGAAAGCCATAAGATGAGTCAGTTGTCCGGACTTTTCAGCCTGGATGTTTCGTTGTCTGTGTCGTCCAGATCTCTCCAGCGCACGGCTGCCTCTTGCTTGTCCTCGCTGTGTTCTTCAATCGAATTTCGTTTCCAGCGTCGACTGAGAAAGAGGCGTCTCTTCCACTGGGCGACCCCCAGGCCAATCATGAGGGCATAGTAACCAAAACATAAAATCAGACCGACAATGCTGTCTCTACGAATCAATGGCACTGTCCGTAGCATTCGGCAGTAGGAACGTGGCTGGGCGGATGGCCACGTTGAACCCCGTAATAGCTTCGCATTCACGCACACATTGTACGGCGTGTTGCTCTGTAGTCCCGTCAAAGAATAGGAATCGGTCTCGGGTGGGAGCATCTTGGATAGGAACGAGCCACTTTGCAGATGATACCCAACATGCCAACCTTCAACAAACTGATCGTTGATAAATTTACGTTTTAAATGTTTTTGCCGTGAACTGGCCATAGATTTGGGCGGTGTCCCCTGCAGTTGGTGTTGCGGCACGTGGCCGCCATGGTAGTTGCTGGTGGACACCCACGACCAAGAAATACTGATAGAAGATGTCGAACTGCCTTCCCATGTGATATTCACGCCTGTCGCGTTGACCGTCTCTGGGTATCCAATTAAGGGTAACATCTCGCCGGGTAGCATCGTTACATGACCTGCAAGAACAATTTTATGTGATAAATAATATGATTTTATACATGTACATGCTGAAGATATGATATATAAATTTATATATCAGACAAATCAGTGCGTCATCGAATGACAAAATTTAAGAAAAGAAAATCCTAAGTAACAAGTTTCAACTTTAGAAAGGAATTTCTTCATAATAATAATAGTTTTATCAAAGGAATTGTAAAGTAACGTATTACGAAAAATAGGCGAAAAAGTTCAGAAAATACAATCATATCAACCAAGTTCAGAGATGTAGATATTTATTTATATAATTTAGTAAATGTTCTATCAACTTGCACGTAATAAGGCCCCCATAGACAAACATACGCGCGTCTAACACTCCATTGTTCTTCTCTGTCTGGTATTTTGACTTCTTTCTCTCCATACATGATCAGCTATGCTTGATTTCATTGTCTCGTCGTTATTTTTTTTAAACTTTAAAAAAAAAATTCTTTTATTGTAGCCTTCCTTCGCAACGATATCTGTGATGAAGATCATTCTTATTTCCGAATCCATGAAGTTTATTAATTATGCCTTAATTTGTAAAAGATTTGTTTGTGAATCTATTTCATGTAAACAATGATTGGCAAAACATCCTGGTTTCCGGGATGGCAAAAATATCGGATATCTGGACTATTTCATTGCCGAAATCCTTAATGCTGTCGTGCTTATTGTTTGATTAACACATGTTCAAGGTCAAAGAAATTAGAAAAATCTGTGCAGTCTTTCAATCGATAAGTCAGATTCTTTGCTTTTCATACAAAGCGAATTCTTATGTTGAATTCCTAATTCACGTCAGTATCAAATAAGGAGGCATTTGCAGGCGATTCGGAGATTACCGGTGTGCCGTAAATATGGGACCGGACTGAAAAGTTTTCTCCTGAACCTCTTTCCAAAATCTGAACAAATTAACGGGGAATATAGCTTTTTGGTGGTGGGTTGGTGATATCGAAGGAAGGGTTTTTGATCAATAAATTTTCAACAACCCCTCTGACACACACACATACAAACACGCACACAAATCTATCTATCTATCTATCTATCTATCTATCTATCTATATATATATATATATATATATATATATATATAAAAAGAAATATAATGTAGTGGTTCCAACGAGAGAAAAGTATGTATATTAAAAGAAGAAGATAAATGTTTTAAAACGTTTTTCTTGTAATGTGGATTTATTTAAAAAAATATTTTTCTTCATTATTAATTATTTTTAATAATATGTGGAAATCTTCCACGTTTTCTGAAGCCTCGCGAGACCAGAAACACGTGTCGTAAAATCATGTAAAACAAAGCATAATATTTTGTCTAAATAAATCCACATTACAACCAAAAAACGTTTTCGGCACCTCTTTTCTTCTTTTTTAATATATATATATATATATATATATATATATATATATATATATCATCACCGGTAACACAACTCTGATAAAATCATCAGGTGCTGATGCATAATTTATGCCGTTGCATAATTTAAATATTGATATTTATACCGAACTTTTATTATAGTGGGGATAATAAAATAAAAATAATATATATATATTAAAGATATGACTTTTTGCAACCCTATATTCCTGTGTCATAAATCGATGAACTTTTGTTCAAAAGTAATTAAAAAGGTATTAATTTGTTTTAGTTCTTGAGAAAGGTCATCAACCAAACCGAAAATTCCATTTTACCATGTATGCAATAAAATAAGGTTAATTCCCAGAATATTTCAGAATTTCCCAGAATATTTCAGAAGCTTTAATTTTCAGTTTGCTAATGATGTAATTGGATAATACTTATGTATTTTTAACGCATTTAACAGTTTATAGCTATAGCACAACATACAACCTTACAAATTAAACCAAAAAATAAGTTCTAGAAGACTCCAGAATGTCATAGTACTAATATACTTATTTACGATTTATAAATTTCGTGTTTGGGTGAATTTAAAAAAAATAAACTAATTAAACCCTACTTCATTATTCTTTTACAAAAGTTCATCGAATTATGATACTAGAAAACTATTGTTTTACAAAATGTCAAAACCTTAATATATATATATATATATATATTTATGACTACAAAAATAATGTTATACATCATCTATTTCACACACACACACACACACACACACACACACACACACACACACACATATATATAAATACATGCAAACATATATATATATATATATATATAAGAAAAAAACATAATTCTTAGCACAAAAAATCTGTCCCCATTCCTAATGGGGACCAATGCATTAAAAACTCCGATGACCATTTTGACATCATAATGGGATCATTAGAATCTGCGAGTCTTCCGACCTTGTCGGTCTATTTATATTATTTAACCTAACTGCGCACCGTGAAATAGATATTAAAGACATCGGGCTATACAGAGATGATGGCCTTATGGCAATGAGGTCTACTAACTTTAAAATAGATAAAATTAGAAAGATAATACATAGAAAATTCAGAAACCTAAATTTAAAAATTATGGACAACACAAAATTGAAAAGGGTAAACTTCCTCGACATAACATTAGACATAATAAATAACATATGTCTACCTTACAGAAATCCTAATACTAATATCTTGTATGTACACCCCAACTCAAACCATCCTCGCTCTATAAGTAAGCACATACCCTCATCAATAGAGAAAAGAATTAGTATGAATTCCGCTAATGAAGAAATATTTAATAAACATAGTAATGTTTACAATCAAGCTCTAAAATATTGTGGCTACAGACACCCTAACATCAAATATATAAAAAAAAAATAATAGTAAAAACCAGAGGAAAAACAAAAAAGCAAAAATCATTTGGTACCTCCACCACGTTCAACCAAATGGTTAGTAATAAGGTAGGGAAAATTCCTAGTTTTAATCGAAAAACATTTTCCTAATAACAGTAAACTTAGTAAGATTTTTTAATAAAAACACCCTAACATTAATTTATAGCTGTACTGAAAATTTAGAAAGGATTATAAAAAAACATAATAATAAAATCTTGAAAAAATACTCATGACAAAATCAAATAAATAAAGATCCTAAAATGAAATTAAGCAATAATAGTGAAAAATTATGTAATTGTAGAAAACCTGAAAATTGCCCTCTGAATAATAAATGCCGCATAGAATTTGTAGTATACCGATGCACAATCTCATCCATTGAGAATCCAGATGCTGAATATATATATATATATATATATATATATATATATATATATATATATATATATATAAGATCTACGAAAATGAATTTAAAATAAGATGGAGAATACACCAAAGCTCCTTCAATAATATTAGAAACCGAAATCAGACATCCATATCTAAATATTTTGGGCATTTAAAAGAAACAAATATAATACGAACCATAAAATGGAAAATAATAAATGGAACAATAACTTGTAGAATCTGGGATGACCCATGCCCTTTATGCCATATTATCAAGTTTCTAAAAAACAAAAAATTATTAAATCAAAGAAATTAAATAACGCTTTTTGCAGACACCAACAAATATTAGTATTTTATAGATAGATAGGGAAAAATTCACATGAAAAATTAAATCCTAGAATATATATATAAAAAACTACATATTGCCCTATATAAATAATTACACAATACCATATAAAATCTGTTAGAAAATTCAATTAAAACTATAGGTTTGAAAATAAAACCCAATCGTAATCTTAGCACTCCTTTAAGAAATCATCAACAAAAAACAAAGAAACATCAAAAAAGACTGTAACTAGAACATCAATCAGTGAGGATTTTAGCAGATAGTAATTAAAACAACAGCCTGATAAAAATTGCCATTGTAGCTAGACAAAAAATAAAAAAAATGGAAAAAAACAACCCAACTGTACACGACTCGAAAAACTTGACATATAATAAACATTCCTACTTTCATCAAAGCAAAGACCACTTCATAATGAAAAACAAAACCCAGATTACACCTCCATTTCAAAACTATAAATGAATAAAACATTTCTTCGGTTAGTTATTCCAAACATCGCTTGAGGATGAAACTGACATCCAATAGTTAAGGTTTAATATTGAAATTAAACTTGAATACTAGTGGACCAGTTTCGAAACATAGTAATTTCTGTGTTACAATGGAATCATAATTTTTTTTTTTTTTAATTATAATTTTAAGCTCTACTTCTGTATCGAGCACTGTTTTTAAAAACAGTGCTCGATCCAAAGTTCTTTATTATTTTTGTTTTATTATAATAAAAAAAAAAAATAAAGAACTTTGGATCAACGATCTAACTGTTCTTTCCTATCACATCAATACACACACACACACTCATATCTATCTATCTATATATATATATATATATATATATATATATATATATATGTGAAAAGTGTATATAAATATAAATAAATATATATATGTATAATTATTTATATATTATATGCGCGGTACTTATTAGAAAGCGCTCAATATCAGAGATAGAGCTAACATATTTCCCCCACCACTTCCACAATAACACCAATACACGCAATCTACATAAACCCAAATTTTTTAAAACATTAATCAGTTTGTCTGACGATCGCTAAAGCGTGAAACCCAGGGTCACAAACTCACATCTATCCAACCAAATATATATATATATATATATATATATGTATGTATTTATGTGTGTGTGTGTGTATGTGTGTGTGTGTGTATTATTCTAGTTCCACGTGCGATGCCTTCTCTGAATATTTCAGTTTCAGTTATTTCTCTTTAGTATCTCAACTCTCCAAGTTTTTGTTCACCTCGGCTGTGGCCAGGTATTGAACTCACAACTCTTTGGGTCAAGTCATATTTTTGGATTACTTCAACCAACGCTTTTATTCACGTATCCTTGGAGAGTTGAGTTACTCAAGGGAATTAACAATCTACCCCCGTGGACTAAATAAAGGGTTCGGTTCTAAATTCCAACGTATGTCATCTGAAGAAAGTCGGAGCGTACAACTGCC